CAAACACTGCACAGTAGACACTAGCCACACACTGCCCTGTTAGACACAAGCCACACACTGCCCAGTAGACACAAGCCACACACTGCCCAGTAGACATCAGCCACACACTCCCCAGTAGACACAAGCCACACACTGCCCAGTAGACACTAGCCACACACTGCCCAGTAGACACCAGCCACACACTGCCCAGTAGACACTAGCCTCACACTGCCCAGTAGACACTAGCCACACACTGCCCAGTAGACACCAGCCACACACTGCCCAGTAGACACTAGCCTCACACTGCCAAGTAGACACAAGCCACACACTGCCTAATAGACACCAGCCACACACTGCCCAGTAGACACTAGCCACACACTGCCCAGTAGACACCAGCCACACACTGCCCAGTAGACACCAGCCACACACTGCCCAGTAGACACCAGCCACACACTGCCCAGTAGACACCAGCCACACACTGCCCAGTAGACACCAGCTACACACTGCCCAGTAGACACCAGCCACACACTGCCCAGTAGACACTAGCCACACACTGCCCAGTAGACACCAGCCACACACTGCCAAGTAGACACAAGCCACACACTGCCCAGTAGATACTAGCCACACACTGCCCAGTAGACACCAGCCACATACTGCCCAGTAGACACCAGCCACACACTGCCCAGTAGACACCAGCTACACACTGCCCAGTAGATACTAGCCACACACTGCCCAGTAGACACCAGCCACACACTGCCCAGTAGACACCAGCCACACACTGCCCAGTAGACACCAGCCACACACTGCCCAGTAGACACCAGCCACACACTGCCCAGTAGATACTAGCCACACACTGCCCAGTAGACACCAGCCACACACTGCCCAGTAGATACTAGCCACACACTGCCCAGTAGACACCAGCCACACACTGCCCAGCACACACCAGCCACACACTGCCCAGTAGACACCAGCCACACACTGCCCAGTAGATACTAGCCACACACTGCCCAGTAGACACCAGCCACACACTGCCCAGTAGATACTAGCCACACACTGCCCAGTAGACACCAGCCACACACTGCCCAGTAGATACTAGCCACACACTGCCCAGTAGACACCAGCCACACACTGCCCAGTAGATACTAGCCACACACTGCCCAGTAGACACCAGCCACACACTGCCCAGTAGATACTAGCCACACACTGCCCAGTAGACACTAGTCACACACAAGTTCATATCAAACTAATCAACCTATCATAAACTTACATCACATTGATCAACTAATGGTGTAAATGGTATGATGCAGAATGTGAGGGTCTTAAAAGGAAAAGATGCAGGGCACTCAATAAATTCAGGAGATGTAAAGATAAGGACTCACTTAGAGAATATTATAACATAAGAAACAAATATATAGCTGTGTGCAAAGAAAGGAAACAAGAATATTTACATGATAAGCAACAATCCTTAGAAAATAACATTCATGACCCTAAACTATTTTGGTCAGAACTGAAAAGTCTAAGCAAACATCAAAAGGCAAATAATATCAACATTAAGGATTGGTACATTTTCTTTAAAGAATTATTACTTTCACAGATACTGATCAGAGCCCTGAAAATCAGTTCCAGGAGTCACAAGATAATACTCAGACTCAAACAGATACTCAGTTTGCAAATGATATACTGGATTCCCCTATTACCAGAGATGAGATTTTAGAGAGTATACACCATCTTAAATGCAACAAATCACCAGGAATGGATCAGATTATTCCTGAGTTTTTTAAACATTCCTCAGATATCATTGTACCGTACCTTGAACTTATATTTAATGTTATATTAGAAAATGGAACATTTCCAGATGCATGGTCAATAGGGATACTTGTGCCAATACATAAACAAGGTGATCTAAATAATATAAACAATTACAGAGGTATTTCACTGCTAAGTATATTTGGTAAACTATTCACAAACATAATAAATAAAAGGTTAGTGTTTTGGGCAGATACCCTCAACAAAATCAATGAAGAACAAGCTGGATTTAGAGAGGGCTATTCAACTATTGACAACATTTTTATCCTTCAAGTTTTAGTTAACAAATACCTCAGTGTCAAGGGTGGGAAACTTTATGTGCTCTTCGTTGACTTTGCCAAGGCATTTGACTCAGTGCAGAGACATAAACTATGGAACCTTTTAAGATCACATGGCCTCAGCTTTAAGATGAACAAACTATAAGGTAGCATTTACGAGAATATTAAGGTGTGTGTGCGAAACAATAATGAGATTTCAGAAACATTTATTAGTCAGGAGTAAGACAAGGATGCATCTTAAGCCCATTTCTCTTTTCTTTTTTCATAAATGAACTGGCTGTACAAATAAATACCAACTGTAATTATGGTGTTCAGCTCCATCCAGATATTACACAGATATTTTTACTTTTATTTGCAGATGATATTGCCCTCTTTTCACAAACAATCAAAGGACTGCAGTGTCAAATTAATGAACTTGAAAGTTACTGCAATAAATGGAAGCTAACAGTAAACATGAGTAAAACAAAATTTTTGGTATTTAAGAATGGAGGTCATTCATCAAGTAAAGAATATTGGTCCTTTAAAGGACAAAAAATAGAAACTACAGGATTTTATAAATATCTTGGTGTTTACTTCAGTAGAAACTTGTCATGGCATAAACATTTGTATCAAGCTGCTTTACAAGCAAGAAAGGTCTTTGTAAGTATCCACAAGAGTTTGAAAGTTTTAGAAACCATTTCTCATCAATCATTATTTAAAATATTTGATATAAAGATACTCCCCATTTTATTGTATGGGGCAGAAGTCTGGGGTTTACAGCACTTTGATGCCGTAGAAAAGATTCATTTATATGTTTGCAAAAAGTATCTAGGTGTTAAAATAAACACTTCCAGCTTGGTGGTGTATGGAGAATGTGGAAGATTCCCTCTCTATGTATATTCAAATATAAAAGTTATTAAATACTGGCTGAGACTTATTGACATATAGTTGCCCAAAAAGTGTTATAATATGATGATAGTTTATGATAATAATGGGAAAAGAAACTGGGTTACAGGTGTTAGAGAATTACTTTTCAGTTGTGGCTTTGGTGATATTTGGCAAAACCAAAATGTGTATTCCAAATCAATGTTTATACTTTCATTAACCCAGAGATTAAAGGATATTTATTTACAATCTTGGACTGCATCATTGACTCTAACAAACAAGTGCTCTTATTACAAAATGTTTAAATCAGAAATAATTATGGAAGATTATTTATCAAAAGTTAATGTTAAAAAAAATTCGAACGGCTCTTTCACGTTTTAGATGTTCTTCTCACGACCTTTTGATAACAACAGGGCGCTATGCAAACATTCCTGTGAAGAAAGAATCTGTAATCTATGTAGTTTAAACTCAGTAGAAGATGAATTTCTTTTCTTACTTGTATGTCCAGTGTATTTACAACTTAGAGAAAAATACCTGCAAGCTTATTATTACAGGTACCCTAATATTATTAAATTTGTTACACTGCTGTCAAACACAAAAAGAAGTATCTTACAAAATGTTTCCATGTACATATATTATGCCTCTTTATACCGACAGAACCTTATGAAAGAATAATCTTAGCTGCTTGGTATTAGGAAACTATTGTGTACATACATTAAGTACACTTTTATAGATATTTGCCATTTGAATAAACTACAAACAAAAGAGTTAGAAATGGTATTAAACTATTAGGCTGTCATATGATATTGTGGGACGTGATATTACAAATGGTTTAGTATAGTTATATGTATATGAAATGATATGAGGTGACATGACATGATGTGATATGATATGATACGTGTTGTGGTGTGATATGATACATGAGGGGATATGATGCAATATGTTATTTGTATTATAGAAATTGGGTAAATACTGTTTTTTAGTGTACATATTATATGGCTTGCGGTCTTCCAGTGTTGAATAAATATTGATTGATTGATATGATATAAAGTGGCATGGAATGACATTGCATTATATGGTATGATATGATAAGATATGATGGGACAAGCTATGAAATTGCTTATGTGTTGTGTGATATGACATGTTGAACTGTGATATAATATAGGTGTGATATATGGTACGATGGTATGTATGGTATGTTATGATATGATAATGGTATATGAAATAATACTATATAGTATGATCTTATAATAATGATACAATATGATATGATGTTATAGAATATGTTGTATGATATAACAAGTTGTGATATGGTAAAATAGAAATTATGAAATTACAGGGTATGGTATTGTACTGTATGTGTGAAATTATGTGACTGTGTTGAGATGCGAGGTGGAATGACGTGAGGTGATTTGGTGAGATATGTACATAAATTGTATAAAACTGTATATTCTTCAAATTGTACTATAGGCATGTGGCCTCTTCAGTACGTGAAATAAAGATTTGAAGATCAACTAATCAAACGAACATTATACTAATTAACCAATCTCAACCTTACAATATACTGGCCAATTTATCACAAGCTAACATCGAACTAGTGAACCAATCACAATGTCTGCAAATGGACCTGTACGTTGAAATATCCCTGTTAGCGTTCCCTTCAGCGGAGCAGCATATACCCTCGACATACGTGTACTTTGTAATTCATCTCAAGCAATGAGTTTCTATTTATCAATGCAATCAATGAAAATCATCACCGGATGAATATATTTGATCATATATTCTGCAGACATAAGCACGTCTGTATTACGTTTCAGATAAAAACTTATCGCAAAAACAATAAAGTTTCTACAAAATGTCCCCAGGTTCAACAATGTAGTTTGGGATGCGGTGATGCCCCTGAGACAGACTCCTCTGTACCCCGACCCCGGGCCTGGCAGTATTTCATGTGTTACACCCCACTGATCAAGCACCGAAAAAACCCTAAAAAACTGATATAACTCTAAGATAATGTTATCGCCCATGTGTAACAAGGCTTTAACAGCCCGAACACGGCATTCGCTCTTGGCCACTCCACCGCCGTGACGAGCAACAAGGCGACTCCACTCCTTGGGTGTGATCGTCGACGGAGACTAAAATTAATGTTAACAATGGAAAGTTTTGGTGTTAAACTTACAAGTATTCTACTTATTCTCGCCTCTGTCCAAGAGGTGAGAGGTCACGGCTATCTGTTGACCCCCCCTGGACGGTCCAGCTTGTGGAGGGCGGGGTTCTCCGCCCCCATCAACTACAACGACATGGAACTGAACTGCGGGGGTCTAGGAGTGAGTTACAATTGGAGCTTGTTTTGTTTTCAAATATTATTTCATCGTACAATATATTTTCTACTACCAAAGTAGACACAATTTACGGATATTTTTTTTATTTGCTGTTATAGCGACGTTTTTACTCAAGAGTTTCTAATCTTTAACATTAGTTATATTAAGTAATGTTCTTCTGATGTATTTTTGATGCATGTGTTTGTAACGGGAGAAGAGGAAAAAAAGGTCAATACATCAGTGCGTTCTGATACTTCATATATTAGAATATTTAAAAAGTGTTTTGTTAGAATTTATGTGCGGTTTGGAAACACGGAAACAATTTGGTATGTTGGATAAATGAAGAATTCCGTTGAAGGGGTTTGCACTATAACAATACCCCTGAACGCCTTAGAGCGTTTGTCCTCAAAAGCGTTTTAAAAATAGTGACAACACTGAAAGTCAAGTCTTTGAAAGGCATCAAGAAGTGAGACACGTAAGGAAGAGTTCAGGAAGTTATGGATGTCAGCTTCTTTATTTTGAGGAACACAACGTTTCGGAGTATATACTTACTCCTTCATCAGGTGAATGAATGCTATGAGGCAGACAGCATATACACTCTTCAAAAAACAAAAAAAGAAACGCACAGGTATGTTGTTCATTGAACCCGACTACACAAAAAACCCGGTATATAAATTGCATATATGTTATTGGAAAATGTTGGTTGCCTGATATTCGACAAACGGTGCGTCAAAACGCAGCCATTTTCGGTTTGCAATGTCTTAAACAGCATTGTTTTCACACTTTTCAATTTTCACTTCCATTGTCTATTGCTAATCACCTATCAGTGCCAGTTATCTGTTGGCTTCCATTGTTAAGTTTCCACCTTTTTTTATCTTATTACTTTTGTTGTTCTTACGTGTACATATATATGCTCTCTGCTTCATGGCATTCATTCACCTGATGAAGGAGTAAGCATATACCCAGAAACGTTGTGTGCCTCAAAATAACGTAATTCCTCCTTACAACATCCCCCATCATTGCATATCTCGACCAAAATAAACCCTTCATTCTCACAACTGCAAATAGGGCACATTTGAGGCCAACTTGATTCTCATGGCATAACTTGTAATGATGTTGTTGATGCATGGCCTTTGACACTTCAAGCATGTTTCCTTGACATTGGTCCTGTTCTGTTTTTAGGAACTAGCACTGTTGGTTGGTAACGTTTCTTTTACTCACCAGATTAGGTTATTGCAATGAACTATTAAAATATATGTTCAGGGTCGAGACTTATTATAGAGACAGTTATTTTTTTTCAAGCAGATGGAGGCTGAGTTTTCTATTTACACAATATTATGAGCTGTGGGGTTTGTTTGTTTGTTTGTTTGTTTGTTTGTTTGTTTAAAAAACGCATCACACCCCCCCCACCCCCCACCCCTAGAAATCAAAATGTTCGGCCTCATCGAGTTAAAACTTGTGTTTTTAACTCCTCAAAAGGTCCCAGAATAGCTGAAGAATACTTGTTGACTATTTCCATCACCACATTAAGATGGTTCCCACGTGTCACAGGCAAGTGAACCTGAACTTGTAATTTGCTTTACGTTAGCAGCATTTTCTACCCAGTACGTAACAGCAGGTTCTACCCAGTACGTAGCAGCAGGTTCTAACCAGTACGTAGCAGCAGGTTCTACCCAGTACGTAGCAGCAGGTTCTACCCAGTACGTAGCAGCAGGTTCTACCCAGTACGTAGCAGCAGGTTCTACCCAGTACGTAGCAGCAGGTTCTACCCAGTACGTAGCAGCAGGTTCTACCCAGTACGTAGCAGCAGGTTCCACCCAGTACGTAGCAGCAGGTTCTATCCAGTACGTAGCAGCAGGTTCTACCCAGTACGTAGCAGCAGGTTCTACCCAGTACGTAGCAGCAGGTTCTATCCAGTACGTAGCAGCAGGTTCTATCCAGTACGTAGCAGCAGGTTCTATCCAGTACGTAGCAGCAGGTTCTACCCAGTACGTAGCAGCAGGTTCCACCCAGTACGTAGCAGCAGGTTCCACCCAGTACGTAGCAGCAGGTTCTATCCAGTACGTAGCAGCAGGTTCCACCCAGTACGTAGCAGCAGGTTCTATCCAGTACGTAGCAGCAGGTTCTACCCAGTACGTAGCAGCAGGTTCTACCCAGTACGTAGCAGCAGGTTCCACCCAGTACGTAGCAGCAGGTTCTATCCAGTACGTAGCAGCAGGTTCTATCCAGTACGTAGCAGCAGGTTCCACCCAGTACGTAGCAGCAGGTTCTATCCAGTACGTAGCAGCAGGTTCTACCCAGTACGTAGCAGCAGGCTGTATCTCCTTGCTATTCTCGTGTTTCAGAATCTGTGGGGCAACAATGGCGGGCGATGTGGGACGTGTGGCGACCCCTATCAGGGGCCCCTGGCAAATGACGGCGGCCGGTACGACACTGGAGTCATCGGCCGAGTTTACAGACAAGGTGACGTCATCGACATCGACGTGGTGATAAGGGCCAATCACCTTGGCTATTTTGTACTGCGACTATGTGAAGAGGGCAGTTTGTCTAAGGAGCTTCTACAGGCCTGTCTTAACAAACATGTGCTGACGCTCGGGACGCCATCTGGTGATGTATTGCGGTACTACATCGGTGATGAAAGTAAAACGTACAGGTTCAAAGCCACCTTACCGCATGACGTCACGTGTCGCCACTGCGTGCTGCAGTGGGACTACAGAACAGGTACGTGTAACCATGGTTACTATTTGCGGAAAGGTCAATAATGGTATATATTGTGTTCATCTTGAGAAAACAACATGCATTAACATAGATGAATCGAAAAGACTTAACATGGTGGTTGTAAACTCGACAGGGGTTAACGACAATAACAAACTTGTTTAAGGACATATTGATTGTAAACTTTCTGAAGACTTAAAACTAAACGTTATAAGTTAATACACATGACAATACACCACGTAACACCCGTGAAGATCCGGGGTAGAATAGGTCTTCAGCAACCCAGTTAGTACACATACAAATACACCGCGTACGTTAGTACACATGACGATACACCACGTTAGTGAGTACACATGACGATACACCACGTTAGTTAGTACACATGACGATACACCACGTTAGTTAGTACACATGGCGATACACCACGTAAGTGAATACACATAGCAATACACCACGTAAGTGTGTACACATGGCAATACACCGCGTAAGTGAATACACATGGCAATACACCACGTAAGTGAGTACACATAACAATACAACATGTAAGTGAGTACACATCACAATACACCACGTACGTAGTACACAATACAATACATCGCGTGAATTAGTACACATGGCAATACACCACATAAGTAAGTACACGTGGCATTACACCGCGTGAATTAGTACACATGGCAATACGCCAAGTATGTTAGTACACATGGCAATACACCACGTAAGTTAGTACACATGACAGTACACCACGTGCGTGAGTACACATGACAATACAACACGTAAGTGAGTACACATGACAATACACCACGTGCGTGAGTACACATGACAATACGACACGTAAGTGAGTACACATGACAATACACCACGTAAGTGAGTACACATGACAATGCAACACGTAAGTGAGTACACATGACAATACACCACGTGCGTGAGTACACATAGCAATGCAACACGTAAGTGAGTACACATGACAATACACCACGTGCGTGAGTACACATGACAATGCAACACGTAAGTGAGTACACATGGCAATACACCACGTGCGTGAGTACACATAGCAATACACCACGTAAGTGAGTACACATGACAATACACCACGTGCGTGAGTACACATGACAATGCGACACGTAAGTGAGTACACATGATAATACACCACGTGCGTGAGTACACATGACAATGCAACACGTAAGTGAGTACACATGACAATACACCACGTAAGTGAGTACACATAGCAATACACCACGTAAGTGAGTACACATGGCAAAACACCACGTAAGTGAGTACACATGACAATACACCAGGTAAGTGAGTACACATGACAATACACCACGTAAGTGAGTACACATGACAATACACCACGTAAGTGAGTACACATGACAATACACCACGTAAGTGAGTACACATGACAATACACCACGTAAGTGAGTACACATGACAATTCACAACGTGCGTGAGTACACATGACAATACACCACGTAAGTGAGTACACATGACAATACACCACGTATGTGATTACACATGACAATACGCCACGTATGTGAGTACACATGACAATACACCACGTAAGTGAGTACACATGACAATACACCACGTAAGTGAGTACACATAGCAATACACCACGTATGTGATTACACATGACAATACACCACGTAAGTGAGTACACATGACAATACACCACGTATGTGAGTACACATGACAATACACCACGTAAGTGAGTACACATGACAATACACCACGTAAGTGAGTTCACATGACAATGCAACACGTATGTGAGTACACATAGCAATACACCACGTATGTGATTACACATGACACTACACCACGTAAGTGAGTACACATGACAATACACCACGTAAGTGAGTACACATGACAATACACCACGTAAGTTAGTACACATGACACTACACCACGTATGTGAGTACACATAGCAATACACCACGTATGTGATTACACATGACACTACACCGCGTAAGTGAGTACACATGACAATACACCACGTAAGTGAGTACACATGACACTACACCACGTATGTGATTACACATGACAATACGCCACGTATGTGAGTACACATGACAATACACCACGTAAGTGAGTACACATGACAATACACCACGTAAGTGAGTACACATAGCAATACACCACGTATGTGATTACACATGACAATACACCACGTAAGTGAGTACACATGACAATACACCACGTATGTGAGTACACATGACAATACACCACGTAAGTGAGTACACATGACAATACACCACGTAAGTGAGTTCACATGACAATGCAACACGTATGTGAGTACACATAGCAATACACCACGTATGTGATTACACATGACACTACACCACGTAAGTGAGTACACATGACAATACACCACGTAAGTGAGTACACATGACAATACACCACGTAAGTTAGTACACATGACACTACACCACGTATGTGAGTACACATAGCAATACACCACGTATGTGATTACACATGACACTACACCGCGTAAGTGAGTACACATGACAATACACCACGTAAGTGAGTACACATGACACTACACCACGTATGTGATTACACATGACACTACACCACGTATGTGAGTACACATGACAGTACACCACGTAAGTGAGTACACATGACAATACAACACGTATGTGAGTACACATGACAATACACGACGTAAGTGAGTACACATGACAATACACCACGTATGTGAGTACACATAGCAATACACCACGTATGTGATTACACATGACACTACACCACGTAAGTGAGTACACATGACAATACACCACGTAAGTGAGTACACATGACACTACACCACGTAAGTGAGTACACATGACAATACACCACGTAAGTGAGTACACATGACAATACACCACGTATGTGAGTACACATAGCAATACACCACGTATGTGAGTACACATAGCAATACACCACGTAAGTGAGTACACATGACAATACACCACGTAAGTGAGTACACATGACAATACACCACGTATGTGAGTACACATGACAATACACCACGTAAGTGAGTACACATGACAATACACCACGTATGTCATTACACATGACAATACACCACGTATGTGAGTACACATGACAATACACCACGTAAGTGAGTACACATGACAATACACCACGTAAGTGAGTACACATGACAATACACCACGTAAGTGATTACACATGACAATACGCCACGTAAGTGAGTACACATGACAATACACCACGTAAGTGAGTACACATGACAATACGCCACGTAAGTGAGTACACATGACAATACACCACGTAAGTGAGTACACATGACACTACACCACGTAAGTGAGTACACATGACAATACACCACGTAAGTGAGTACACATGACACTACACCACGTAAGTGAGTACACATGACAATACACCACGTAAGTGAGTACACATGACAATATACCACGTATGTGAGAACACATGACAATACGCCACGTAAGTGAGTACACATGACAATACGCCACGTAAGTGAGTACACATGACACTACACCACGTAAGTGAGTACACATGACAATACACCAGGTAAGTGAGTACACATGACAATACACCACGTATGTGAGTACACATAGCAATACACCACGTATGTGATTACACATGACACTACACCACGTAAGTGAGTACACATGACAATACACCACGTAAGTGAGTACACATGACACTACACCACGTAAGTGAGTACACATGACAATACACCACGTAAGTGAGTACACATAGCAATACACCACGTATGTGAGTACACATAGCAATACACCACGTATGTGAGTACACATAGCAATACACCACGTAAGTGATTACACATGACAATACACCACGTAAGTGAGTACACATGACAATACACCACGTATGTGAGTACACATAACAATACACCACGTAAGTGAGTACACATGACAATACACCACGTATGTGATTACACATGACAATACGCCACGTAAGTGAGTACACATGACAATACACCACGTAAGTGAGTACACATGACAATACACCATGTAAGTGAGTACACATGACAATACACCACGTATGTGAGTACACATAGCAATACACCACGTAAGTGAGTACACATAGCAATACGCCACGTATGTGAGTACACATGACACTACACCACGTAAGTGAGTACACATGACAATACACCACGTAAGTGAGTACACATGACAATACACCACGTATGTGAGTACACATAGCAATACACCACGTATGTGAGTACACATAGCAATACACCACGTAAGTGAGTACACATGACAATACACCACGTAAGTGAGTACACATGACAATACACCACGTATATGATTACACATGACAATACACCACGTAAGTGAGTACACATAGCAATACACCACGTAAGTGAGTACACATGACAATACACCACGTATGTGATTACACATGACAATACGCCACGTAAGTGAGTACACATGACAATACACCACGTAAGTGAGTACACATGACAATACGCCACGTAAGTGAGTACACATGACACTACACCACGTAAGTGAGTACACATGACAATACACCACGTAAGTGAGTACACATAGCAATATACCACGTAAGTGAGAACACATGACAATACGCCACGTAAGTGAGTACACATGACAATACGCCACGTAAGTGAGTACACATGACACTACACCACGTAAGTGAGTACACATGACAATACACCACGTAAGTGAGTACACATGACAATACACCACGTAAGTGAGTACACATGACAATACACCACGTATGTGAGTACACATAGCAATACACCACGTAAGTGAGTACACATAGCAATACACCACGTAAGTGAGTACACATGACACTACACCACGTAAGTGAGTACACATGACAATACACCAGGTAAGTGAGTACACATGACAATACACCACGTATGTGAGTACACATGACAATACACCACGTATGTGAGTACACATAGCAATACACCACGTATGTCATTACACATGACACTACACCACGTAAGTGAGTACACATGACAATACACCACGTAAGTGAGTACACATGACAATACACCACGTATGTCATTACACATGACAATACACCATGTGAGTTAATACCCATTACTGTACACTACGTGAGTTAGTACACATGACAATATACCATGTGAGTGAGTACACGTGACAATACACCACGTAAGTAAGCACACATGACAATAAAACCACGGAAGTTAGTACACATGACAATACACCACGTAAGTGAGCACACATGACAATAAAACCACGGAAGTTAGTACATATAGCAATACACTATGTAAATTTGTACACATGATAATACACCATGAACGTTAGAACACATGACAATACATCGCATGAGTTAGTACACATGGCAATACACCACGTTAATTAGTACGCATGGCAATACACCACGTATGTTAGTACACATGGCAATACACTACCTTTATTAGTACACATGATAATACGCCACATACGTTAAAACACGTGACAATATACCACGTAAGTAAGTACACATGATAGTACACCAAGTAAGATAGTACACATGGCAAAGCACCATGTGAGTTAATACCAATGACGATATACCACGTAAGTTAGTACACATGAGAATACACCACGTAAGTTAGTACACATGGCAATACACCGTGTAAGTTAGTACACATGACAATACATTGCGTGAATTAGTACACATGGCAATACACCACGTTAATTAGTACACATGGCAATACACCACGTACGTTAGTACACATGGTAATACACCACGTACGTTAGTACACATGGTAATACACCACGTATGTTAGTACACATGGCAATAGACTACGTAGGTTAGTACACATGATAATACACCACATACGTTAATACACGTGACAATATACCACGTAAGTTAGTATAGATGACGATACACCATGTGAGTTAATACCCATTACTGTACACTACGTGAGTTAATACCCATGACAATACACCACGTACGTTAGTTCACATGCCAATATACCACATAAGTAAGTAAACTTGACAGTTCACTACGTAAATTGTTACACATGACAATACACCGTGTAAGTTAGTACACATGACAATACACCAGGTAAGTTAGTACACATGACAATACACCGTGTAAGTTAGTACACATGGCAATACACCATGTGAGTTAGTACACATGACAATACACCACGTTAGTTAGTACACATGGCAATACACCGCGTAAGTTAGTACACATGACAGTTCACAACGTAAGTTAGCACAACATGACAATACACCACGTTAGTTAGTACACATGGCAATACACCGCGTAAGTTAGTACACATGACAGTTCACAACGTAAGTTAGTACACATGACAATACACAACGTAAGTTAGTACACATGGCAATACACCATGTGAGTTAGTACACATGACAGGTCACAACGTAAGTTAGTACACATGACAATACACATCGTAAGCTAGTACACATGGCAATACACCACGTAAGTAAGTACACATGACAGTTCACAACGTAAGTTAGTACACATGACAATACACCACGTAAGTTAGTACACATGGCAATACACCGCGTAAGTAAGTACACATGACAGTTCACAACGTAAGTTAGTACACATGACAATACACATCGTAAGTTAGTACACATGGCAATACACCGCGTCAGTTAGTACACATGACAGTTCACAACGTAAGTTAGTACACATGACAATACACCACGTAAGTTAGTACACATGGCAATACACTGCGTAAGTTAGTACACATGACAGTTCACAACGTAAGTTAGTACACATGACAATACACCACGTAAGTTAGTACACATGGCAATACACCACGTAAGTTAGTACACATGGCAATACACCACGTGAGTTAGTACACATGGCAATACACCGCGTAAGTTAGTACACATGGCAATACACCGCGTAAGTTAGTACACATGGCAATACACCACGTAAGTTAGTACACATGGCAATACACCGCGTAAGTTAGTACACATGGCAATACACCACGTAAGTTAGTAAACATGGCAATACACAACGTAAGTTAGTACACATGGCAATACACCACGTAAGTTAGTACACATGGCAATACACCGCGTAAGTTAGTACACATGGCAATACACCACGTAAGTAAGTACACATGGCAATACACCACTTAAGTTAGTACACATGGCAATACACCGCGTAAGTTAGTACACATGGCAATACACCACGTAAGTTAGTACACATGGCAATACACCGCGTAAGTTAGTACACATGGCAATACACCACGTAAGTTAATACACATGGCAATACACCACGTAAGATAATACACATGGCAATACACCACGTAAGTTAATACACATGGAAGTTGTGTGTCACAGGAAACAACTGGGGGTCGGACGAGGAAGGCACTGGGAAGGGATTCGGGCCTCAGGAGCATTTCATCAACTGTGCCGACATCCGGATTGACTCAGCTGACGGCGCACCACCGCCACAGACGACAACGACATCAGTGTCCACTACAGCTTCAACGACTGAAAGTACCACATCAACGACCACATTGATAACTACATCTGCTGCCACATCTGCTACAACCTCTTCTACCTCCACGCTTTCTACGTCTGCCACGACAACGACCAAGCCGACCTCTCCGACGACAACATCCGCAAAAATAACATCTCCGACAACGTCTCCCACGACAACGACTTCACCGACAACTACAGTATCTCCTACACCACCATCAATCACCAGTCCTCGTCGTGGTTGTCGTTCCCGTGGTGTGTGGGCGGGGCAGAAAGGAATGGACCAGTGGTGTGTGGTCCATTGTTCCTTTGGCTTTTGCCCTGATTCACATTGTATTTGCAATTGAAAACGTAAAGCAAAACCGGGAATAAATATATGTTCTCCTTTCATGAGCTTTTTAATTCACATACATTGGCACGAGCACTTGTATCACACACACACACTACACACACTCTTCTGTCACACACACTACACACACTCTTCTGCAACACACACTACACAAACTGTTCTGTAATACACACTACCAACACTGTTCTGTCACACATACTACACACTCTGTTCTGTCACACACACTACACATACACACTACACACACTGTTCTGTCATACACACTATACACACTGTTCTGTCAGACACACTACACACTCTGTTCTGTCATACACACTATACACACTGTTCTGTCATACACACTATACACACTGTTCTGTCATACACACTACACACACACTACACACACTGTTCTGTCACAGACACTACACACACTATACACACTGTTCTGTCAGACACACTACACACACTGTTCTGTCAGACACACACTACACACACTGTTCTGTCACACACACAACACACACACTACACACACTACACACACTGTTCTGTCATACACACTATACAAACTGTTCTGTCATACACACTACATACACACTACACACACTGTTCTGTCACACACACAACACACACACTACACACACTACACACACTGTTCTGTCATACACACTATACACACTGTTCTGTCATACACACTACACACACTGTTCTGTCATACACACTATACACACTGTTCTGTCATCAAACACAACACACACACTACACACACTGTTCTGTCACACACACAACACACACGCTACACACACTGTTCTGTCATACACACTATACACACTGTTCTGTCATACACACTACATACACACTACACACACTACACCCACCGCTCTGTCACACACACTACACACACTGTTCTGTCACACACACTACACACTCTGTTCTGTCATACACACTATACACACTGTTCTGTCATACACACTATACACACTGTTCTGTCATACACACTACACACACACTACACACACTGTTCTGTCACAGACACTACACACACTATACACACTGTTCTGTCAGACACACTACACACACTGTTCTGTCAGACACACACTACACACACTACACACACTGTTCTGTCATACACACTATACAAACTGTTCTGTCATACACACTACATACACACTACACACACTGTTCTGTCACACACACAACACACACACTACACACACTACACACACTGTTCTGTCATACACACTATACACACTGTTCTGTCATACACACTACACACACTGTTCTGTGATACACACTATACACACTGTTCTGTCATACACACAACACACACACTACACACACTGTTCTGTCACACACACTACACACACACTACACACACTACACACACTGTTCTGTCATACACACTATACACACTGTTCTGTCATACACACTACATACACACTACACACACTACACACACTGTTCTGTCATACACACTATACACACTGTTCTGTCAGACACACACTACACACATTGTTCTGTCATACATACTACACACACTGTTCTGTCATACACACTATACACACTGTTCTGTCAGACACACAACACACACACTACACACACTACACACACTGTTCTGTCATACACACTATACACACTGTTCTGTCAGACACACAACACACACACTGTTCTGTCAGACACACACTACACACACTACACACACTGTTCTGTCACAGACACTACACACACTGTTCTGTCAGACACACAACACACACTGTTCTGTCAGACACACTACACACACTGTTCTGTCAGACACACTACACACTCTGTTCTGTCATACACACTATACACACTGTTCTGTCAGACACACAACACACACACTACACACACAACACACACTGTTCTGTCAGACACACACTACACACACTGTTCTGTCATACACACTACACACACTGTTCTGTCATACACACTATACACACTGTTCTGTCAGACACACAACACACACACTACACACACTACACACACTGTTCTGTCATACACACTATACACACTGTTCTGTCAGACACACAACACACACTGTTCTGTCAGACACACTACACACACTACACACACTGTTCTGTCACAGACACTACACACACTGTTCTGTCAGACACACAACACACACTGTTCTGTCAGACACACTACACACACTGTTCTGTCACACACACACTACACACACTGTTCTGTCAGACACACTACACACTCTGTTCTGTCACACACTCTACACCCACCGCTCTGTCACACACACTACACACACACACTACACACACTGTTCTGTCACACACTCTACACCCACCGCTCTGTCACTCTGAAGACCAGCGAGTGGCGGCCCCCGCGTTACCCAGGGGGGATATTGCGTGGTCAATGATCGCTGCAAGGAGTAGCACTTGTGAAGATTGCTAGAAGTCAGGGTAGTCTGGGAGTTTACTCCAAAAAATACATTGTCCCGGAAAAAGTCATTACGTCAGTTTGATGTTATACAAATCAGACAGCTGATGAACCTTTTTTGATGGGATAACTTCAGGATCGACTCAGACAAACCAAACAAATATAGTTCATAGCCACGGACGTCTTAATTCAACACACATGTCACATGACCAACTCAATATCACAGAACATGATGTCCATGATACAAAAACAACTCTGCCCGACTTCACATTTCGTACAGAGACAGAGAGGAACAACTTAGTCATATCTAAAAAGGAAATTGAAGACATAATACAATGTTTGTCTCTGAACAAAGCCTCCGGACTGGACAAATTTGTTAATTATTAAAGAAAACTGTATATGCTATCAGCGAAGCATTGTGTTTACTGTTCAATATGTCACTACAATCAAGTATATTTCCATCAGTGTGGAAAAAAGCAAATGTTGTGCCATTATTTGAGAAAGGTGATCACACTATCGTTTCTAGTTATAGACCGATATCACTCATTAGCTGTTTAGTAAAATTGTTTGAGAGAGTTGTGTTCAAACATTTATATAATTACTTTCACGAGAACAAATTGTTGTATAAGTACCAATCTGGGTTTCAGGCTGGTCACTCAACTGTCCATCAACTAATAGAACTTTACCACCAAATTTGTACAGCGTTAGATAACAAAGAAAACTATTGTATTGTATTCTGTGATGTATCAAAAGCCTTTGATCGTGTATGGCACAGTGGGGATGTGTTTAAATCAGAGAGGTATGGTATAAAAGGCCATTTGTTAAAATGGATTACCAGTTACATAAGTAATCGTAGCCAAAGCGTATTTGTGAATGGGCAAATATCCAAACCAAGATACATGAAGGCTGGCGTGCCACAGGGGTCCGTGCTTGGTCCCTTACTCTATATTGTTTATGTAAATGACATTGCTGATACATTACACTGTATGACAAGACTGTTTACCGACGATACATCGATTGGCATGTCATATCCAATGATAACAGTGTACTGGAACGTTCCTTAAGCACAAATTTAGCAATCTTAAGTGAATGGGCGAAACTTTGGCTCATAAGTTACAATCCCGAAAAGACTAAATCGGTTCTATTCTCTCGCAAAGACAACAATGGAGGTCTAAAACTATATTTCAACGGAAAAGAAATCAGCTCTGTAAACAGTCAAAAGCACTTGGGTGTTGTACTTGAAGCCAGTGGCAAATGGTCTTGTCATATAGATACCATAATTAAAACAACTTTCAAGATGATTTACTCAATCAGAAAACTCTACTTCACAGAAATACTATGAACAATATATATAAAATGTTCATAAGATCCCACGCATGTGAGGTTTGGGATGGTTGCACCGAAGGACGAAGTGAGAAATTAGAACAATTACAATTAGAAGCTGCACGCATTGTAACTGGTCTACTTAAATATGCCCCCAGGCATTCATTATATTACGAAACCGGTTGGGAACCCTTAGTTGAGCGTAGAGAGAAACGTCAACTTTGTCTTTTCTTCAAAATTAATCATAACATGGCCCCTTCCTATCTAACAGATATTCTACCCAAAACCGTTGCTGCAAAAAACTCATACGGTCTCAGAAACTCTGAAAACATCAGTGTTCCTCTCATAAGACTAAGACATTCGTGTGAATCCTTTTACCCATCGTCTATCCCATTGTGGAACTCTATTCCGTTATCAGATCGAAATTCTACGATTTCTTGTTTTAAAAATTCGTTACAAAAGCACCACCCAACGTCACCTGCGTACTTCGCATACGGAAAAAGAAAATATAATATCTTACACACAATACTGAGATACATGTGCAGTCAATTGAATTATGATTTTTATAGAATTGGTATAAAAGATCACCTGAACTGTACATGTTCGAATACATGTGAAAATGCATATCATTATTTCAGGGAATGTACATTGTTTAGTCATCAGCGTGAAATTATGTTAAACAGCCTTAAAAATATTGTTCATAACATACCTGTTGATGTACACTTACTGTTATACGGCAATGCAGATCACGTTGTTACAGAAAATGAAGCTATATTTAAGGCAGTACAACATTATATATGTACAACTAACAGATTTGTGTAAAGAAGTGTTCATTCAACAATGTATATTGTATATATATATATCGCTCTCCCTCTCTCTCTCTCAATTTGAAATTGTGTGTGTGCGTGTGTGTGTGAGAGAGAGTGAGAGTGTGTGTGTGTGTGTGTTTAAGCTGATGGTACATTTAAATTTACAATTCACATGTACACTTTCCTTTCTCTCAAACATGAATTCATTCAATAAAACATACAATAATAATACTTACATGCATTAGATAAGTTATTTCAGACGTTTTACTCAAACCCCTGTAGCTTTAAATAAATTGAAACTTGAGTCAATGATGATTTACACGTAGATTACTTTAGCAGTATTTGGGTTGAATTTACTTGTTTTCCTTACACGCATACAGTACAACAAATAGCATGTGCATATATAACAGATAATCTCGCCTGATGCAGGGGAAGGGGAATTCCAAGTAGGAATCAGAAAAGCGGTCAAGCAGTTGGAATATTACAATCAGAGTGATATGTTCTACTCCTATCTGATCAATC